TTAAGTCCTTAAACTTGTGTTTAAAATTTCTTTCATTAAGGATTAAAGGAAATTCACCTGGTGTTTCCAAAAGTTCCTAATAGCTGAAAAGCAGTTAATAAGCAATTTCCAAACATGATTAGAAAAGGAAATATGCGACCCAGTGTTCTTTGAAAAGGCATCAACCGCGATTTGAGCTAAGATAGCTATTCCCTTGTCTCCTAGAGTTCTAAACCCGCCGGAGAATGCAGTCTTCTCATGAGAAGTAACTGTCTGGAGCGCTTGTGGGTGATCTCAAGTCCTCTCCTTGTCCAGAGAGGAATCACAAAGAGCTGTTCCACTCTCAGGCTCTTAATTTCACCACAGTTGTCAGCTCCACTCTCAGTTCAGTTTGCCATTTTTTCCCCAGAAGTCCATGACATTGGTTTCCTAGTCTGGTCTACCTTGAAGGGTTGATAGAGGTGGAGTTAAATGGATGACTGGTCACATTCACTATATGTTCACAGAATTCCAAATGTGTCCTTCGCCTAAAAGAATTCTACTCCTGCTAATGTTATTTCTCCTAAAAGTGTCCTCTTAGCACTCAGCAGGGACATCCCTACAATGTAGCTAAGGATGTAACTGAGATTTAAAATAGAAATGGGGTGGGGTTTTTTTCCCCTGGAAATATTCAGGTTCAGTCTCTACTAGACTCCATTATTTAGAAATCAGTTGCTCACTTTTTCTTCCCCTGGCCCAGCAGGCCTCTGGATGTTCTATGTATCACTGGAGTAGTCAGATGGAATCAGCACTTCCAATCAATCTGTCTAAAATAAAAACGTTCAAAAAGGAATGCAGTGGAAGCTGACAATGCCTCCTGATGCTGACTGACAAAAGGCGCTATGTCCAGCTGGGCTGATTCAATGCCATTTGTCAGCAGGACAGACAAGAAAAGACACCGCAGGTGGTGAAGAGGAAGACACAGAGGCAAAAAAATCTTTGCAGACTTGCACATTGTCTCTTGTCACTTGCAGGCATAAAGGGTAGGTTGTGTCACTGTGGAGTGGCAGCAGTGATATGAGGCCCAGGTGTGTGTGTATGCGTGCATGTATGCATGAGACAGAGAGAGAGACAGATAAACAGAATATTGCTGAAAGAACAATATCAAGCAACTCAGATTTTTAAAACTTAACACTTTTTTCCCCACAGATTCTAGTAATGCAATATCCTTTAAAATGTCAAATAACACTTTCCATTCAAGAATGCAGATATATTGATCTAAAACATTTCGCTATTCTATCTCTTCATTTAGTTAAACTGTAGTTTTTTTAAAAAAGTACTAACACACATACTTAATGAAACAGGTGGGCAAATTTATCTAGCTCACTGAGGTATACATATATTAGAGCTTTATACATTATATGAATCAGACCTCTTTTTTACCTGGTCTTAAAGATTACATTTGTTTACACAAAAGGTATGATATAGGAAAAAATGCTTTTAAAGGAATGTATTTGATATCATAGCAGTCACTTTTAGATAGCATTATGTGACAGCAAAAGCCAGGTGAATGAATTTCAGAAATCAGTACATAATCTAGTGGATGCAGGAGTCAGCTTAAAAAAAATTACACAAGACTGGTAATAAAATCATTTCATAAATATTAAGCTTTGAGTAAAAGCAGTCTAAAGTACTGTAGAATACTTGGTCTAGAAATGAAGCCAAGATACTTTAAACTGTCCTCACTTCCTGGTGCGTTATTACATTTGTCCTTTATAAACATTTTTTTTCAGGTGCTAGTTTATATACCAGCAGTTTTATTTTCTGTGTTTGTCTCCTTTTTCAATATTTTCTATAATAAACATTTGGATGAACTTTTAACTTTTTTTCAACAATAATTTTTAAAAAGTCCAGCTGCATTGAGTTCATGACTCAGTCTCCACTGGACAATAGCTTATGCCTTTTAATATTTTTTCTTTGTTTTTTGGAAACAAGATGTGGATATTGTTGTTCATATTGCAATTGTTTGTGGGCTCACTTGACCACAGCAGCTTCTTTCATGCAGCATAACTCAGTGTCTTCAAACTGGGCTTGAAAATCTTGTCCATCACAAAGTATTAGCAACACAGAGGAAACAGAACTCTGGGTTTTATCCCTGGGTCCACCCTTTGAAAATTGCCTATTCAGATTTACTTATTTTATTCTTCAGCCATTCCATCCAGAGATTAAGCCATCAAAGAAACTCAACCATACAAACACGCCAAAGATATAGCCACGTTTGTTTTTAAAAACAGCACATTTGTGTAGCCCTTTCTATTGGGCCCTATCAATTTTAGCAAAGACTAAGTTTTCCATACCACTCCCCCCCACACACACACAATTAAAATTGTTCAAACTCCTGGTTGACAAAAATCATGCTAATGTCAGGCTAAAGTTAAGGCCATTTTAATCACCAAGACTACCTGAAAGATCTTGTTTCCCAGTGTTTTTTAACACAACTGTGGATCATAAATGCTAGACAGAATTCATTTCTGAAATGCCATGATTCAATTCTCATATGCAGAGGAATGGAAAAAGAAGAAGAAATACACCAGTTTTCAATATATTCTCTCTGGTGTCACAGACAAATAACTCACTGAAGGGCATCTTACGTTTGCTGCGATGTTGCTTGCAAAAATGTACCAGGCAACCAATGTTTTCTCCCCAATAATATGGAGTAGTAGGCATATTCAGGGATATTTGAGAAGTGATGTGTATGTCTATGGGGGTGGGTTAGTTTCAGAATGTAATGCTTCCAAGTGGTGATACAGTAATTGCTGGATATGGGGTGGAGGTCCAGGGGTCCACATTCTTGGGGTGTCCACAAATTAAACCATAATGTAATCTAATCTTCCTTAACCTTCTTTTCCAGATGTATTTTAACTGAAATTCCATCTGGAGGCACTAAGGTAAATTAGCATTCTGAAAGCTGTAGACTCATACCTTTAATGTACCAGGTTGGGAAAATATTCAGTAGCAGAGTGAGATAGCTCAGACTTTTGAGTTGGGTTCACTGTATTTTCATTGCCAAAGCAACATTTGAGAGATTGTCTTTCTCAGGTGCCAAAATAACCTACTTTCCTTGGATGGCAAAGTGGACACCTTTTCTGCTTCACCCCAAGTTGCAAAACGTCTTGGAAAAACCTTCAACCGAACATGAAGAGGGTAGGTAGGGGGACTGTTCCTTCGTATTTAAATTTGAAATGTGCTGTTATCCTTTTCAGCAATGATAATTTAGAAACAACATGTAGAAGCCCTTTTATGAAATGCAACATTTAAAGAAGAGCAAAACTGCTATTCCTCAGATTTCTCACAAAAGCATGAATGGCCCAAATAATTATGACTCTCTGGTAAGAAAGCAGCTTGAGATGTCAGATTCTTTACCTCAACTACCACTTAGATATGAACAACAAACAGGGAATGGTTTCAACCAAAATGCCTCCTTTTCTATGGGAACACATCTGAAAGAAGAGGTGAAGTGGGAATCTCTTTAAACCATAGGCTCCTACCTATTGATAGAAAATGGAGCAATACTCTTGATAAGAGAAGCCTTTGCTCCCAGTTTAGCTGCTTCCACTGCTCCATGATGTCGGTAGAGCACTGTTTTATCGTAATTGGTATAATGCTGGTTGTAAACAACGATCTTTCCACGGGCTTCACGAGCCTTCTTGTGTAGGTCATCAAAAGAATTTACTACCAACACCTCTGCTGTAATACCTGGAAATGAAAAAATCAGCTGTTAGAAATACAGGCCCAGTCCACAACATGTTGGGGTAAAACAGCCAAATAGCTGTGGAGACACCTTTAGTTAGTTTTACTTTTTCTTTTCTTTTCTTTTTTAAAAGACAGCTCCAATTTCTAAATTTCTAGTATGAATAAAGTTGATAACAAAAGTAAAGAAGTAAAGACAAGAAGAAATAAGCATTTTCCTTCTGCCCTGCCCTTCGATATTCATGCCTGAAAACAAATAAATATTTTTAAGGAACAGCAATAACTAAAGGAGTTTCTCCCCTCCCCCCACATATTTTCATTCCAGATTCATCTGAGGACCATATTTCATAGGCCCCTTTTTTTGGTTTGCTTTTTGTTCTTAGTGAAATATTTCACAGGATGACCACAGAGTAAAAGAGCAAATTTTGTGGACTGATTACAGAGATAAGTGGAAACTACTCAAAGAAGAGGGGATTATTTTGTTGCTAAATATAGAAATTATAGGGCATGCCTGAAATTCTATCATTCTGCATTGCTTTAGAAACCATAAAACGTATCACTAAGAACTAAATGTAAAAACAAATGCTGATGATTTTTCTTGCCACATACAGACAATTCATCCTGTTCCATAGCAACAGAAAGAATGAGAAGGAAGCAAAGTCTCACAGCATTTCCTCAGTGCATCCCCCCAAATGTAATTATAATATGATGATGATGATGATGATGATGATGATGATGATGATGATGATGATGATAAGCCTTCAAGTTCAGTGTTGACTCCTGGTGACTGCCTGGACAAGTCCCTGCAGTTTTCTTGGCAAGATTTTGAAGTGATTTGCCATTGCCTCCTTCCCAGGGCTGAAAGAGAGTGAGTGGTTCAAGGTCCCCCAGCTGGCTATGAGGCTAAGGCAGGACTAGAAATCATGGTCTCCTGGTTTCTAGCCTGGTGCCTTAACCACTAAACCAAAGTGGCTCATCATATGACCTGGAGGCTTGTAATCTATTTCACATGCCAAAAAGTTTTTCAGATTAGCTATGCAATACATGGTATTCCCTGTGACACTCTATGGAAGCAAAATCTCAACTTTAAAGAAGCAGGATAGGAACTGCATTGATGCCTTTGAACTTGGGTGTTGGAGAAGACTCCTGAGAATACCGTGGAAGCCAGGAAAACAACCCAATGGATCATTGAACAAATCAACCCAGAGTTCTCACTCGAGGCACAAATGACCAGGCTCAAATGATCATACTTTGGACATGTTATGTGAAGACCCAGCTCTCTGGAAAAGGCTCTAATGCTGGGAAAGGTGGAAGGAAAGAGAAGAAGATGACCAGCAGCAAGTTGGATGGACTCAGTTGCAGTGCAATGAATGCATCATTGGGAGACTTCAAAGAACAGGCTAGGGATAGATTGTCATGGAGAAGATCTATCTATGTGGTCACTAGGAGTCAGAAATGACTTCGTGGCACATAATCAATCAATCAATCGCAACATAACCATTATCTATAGCAAAATACATCTCCTTATTTTCAAGCTGAAGTAGCAGCAGAGAAGGTGTTCAGAGTTCTGATTGAGGCCAGATCATTTTTATCCTCCCATGTGAACATGTTGTACACAACCGTAGTGCACAACACTACAAGTATGCAAAAAAGCACTAGAGTAAAACAGTACTTATGTGACTATAAAATAGTTCTTTGAACAGATCTTTCTACTGTTCAAATGTAAAAGTAACTTCGTGAATATATGACCCATTTTATACATATACGAAAAAGAGTGATTACCTGTAAGAGTGCTTGGATCAGGACAGTGAAATAAGGAGAGGAATTATTATTCCTCCCCTTTTGCAACCACTTCTGAAGGTTGCTAGTAGTTTCACTGGAGTGGAATTGCAGGTCTGCAAGCAACATATTGGGATAAACAATTCAAAAAGCCTATCCCAAATGACTGCTGACCTAATCCATTTTTGTATCTCTTCCATCATGTACAGTTTGGCCCTAAGAACCTTTGTTAAGAATTATGGCAGAAAGAATCAGTGGGTGAAAAGGTGAAATAGAAATTGTAGAAGTAAATACCTAAGCAAACCAAAAAGTATCTTGTATGAATTGCACTTTTCCCACATCTTTGGAAAAACTTAGGGCTACTCCAGGACTTCCAAAATGTCTGCTTGGGGCTTCATGCAGCTCATGAACTGCTTGTCCCAGATCCAGGAGAACAAAAATCAATCAAGCTATAAGAAATGGGGTCTTGGATTTTACATCCAGAAACAGGTAAGAAAGGTGTGAAAATGGGCTCACTTTCCTGGCTCTCAACTTACTCTTTTTTTGTGTGCAAAATACACTGTATTCGTGTATTTAGGGCAAAATCTACCGCTGCTACTGTTGGCGTGTAAGTGAAGTAAACGGATAGGCTCCAGCCATTCTTAATGAATAGAAGTTTCAGCTGCATGCCTCAGAAACATCTTGGTGACAGAAGCATGCAAAGGGCTGGAATTAGGCCAATGGAGAGGAAGCCAGAGATCTGGAAATTTTCATTTTCCACTAGAAAAATCAAGGTCTCTACAGGCTGGCAGTGCAATCTATGTGACATATCAGCTTTCGAAACTAATGAGTAGAATTGACACCAGGTAATTCATCCCAGCACTCCATTTATATCCCACACCAAGTGATAAAACATAATAACATGGGTTCATGATTGCTCATCAAGGAAAAAAGAACAGTCACAATTCTTGACAGCTCCTTGTAACAATGAAAGATGCTTCCTACGAACAGGTCTCAGTATCCTGGTTCCCTTTCACAGCTTATGCAACAAACTTCCCAGCTGGTGTCTTCTAGAGCTGTTGGGATTGCAGTTCACAAAATTCCCAGTCAACATAATAGATTGTAACAAAATAATAGAGCCTATGCTTTGCAAGTGACTGCCCCCAGCAACCCCAGATGGGGCTGGGAAGGATTCCTGTCTGAAACCCTGAGAAGCTGCTGCATGTCACTGCAAACAATATTGAGCTGGATGAAACAGCTTCCTATGGCTTCTGGCCATGCTGGCTGGGAATTCTGGGAGTCACAGAGCTACCCTAAAAATTATTCAAAGTTTTATGCCTAGTTCCTAATGAAGAAAACATGTGTTCTAAATACACCTACGACAACAGAAAAAGAAATAAAAAACAGAGCTGTGACTCAGTCAATGAATCAAATGGTTTTAACTGATGTAGGTCTGAAGGCAGCTCCATGCATCTAATGATGGATCATAGCAACAGTTAGGAATTGTTGCTTTGGAGTGCTCACAGCTGCTTCCCTGGTTAAGCTGGTTGAGGCAGACTCAGGGGTGGTGCTGTGGAACCTCAAGGTCATGGCTCAACATAAACTTCAGGGTATTAATAGATCAATTCTGGATTTGACTGATATTTGGAGAGTAGGGTGCCAAGGAGGAAAGAGAAGTTAGCCATCACTAGAGAATAATAAAAAGCAATTTTCAAGTGTAATTAGAAGAAATACATATAAAGAGGTTTATAACTAAAAATGCAGGAGGTGTCAGCCTTCCTCAGGCTTTGAGCTATTGATTTAGCTGTCTCTTAAAGGGCTTAAGCTAGGCATTCACCTATTCTCAACTTGCACATAATAAAAACATGAGTAAGGTGTTTTCTGTAACTTCTTCCTGGGGAGAGAGAACTGGGGAAATTGTAATACAGTAGAATTAACTTCAACATGGAAGAAAGTTTCAACAGCCAGGCCAGGCAGCAGATATACATGGGAAGGGCACTTCTTGCTTTTTCCCACAGGAAGCAAAGCATCTTGGATTTGTAATAGTATTTCGTTCAGGGATGTAAAAAGTACGGGCCAGAGGCCAGATGCGGCTTTCCAACATCTCTTTTATGGTCCTCCAGAGCCCAGAACAATGACTGGGCTCAAAAAGTTGTTTTTTTGCATTGGTGGTTGGAGGCTTTAAGGGGCAAACTGGGTGCCTTCGACCATGCAGAACCTGAAAACCCTTTAAACTCTTCGGACCTCTATCCAAAACAGGCCCTTTGGGGCATATTGCAGAAAGTCTAATGCAGTCCTTGAACTGACAAAACTTGCTTACTCTTTAGTTTACATCAGCGTTTCTCAACCTCAGCAATTTTAAGATGTGTGGACTTCAACTCCCAGAATTCCCCAGCTAGCATAAAGTTACTGAGGTTGAGAAAGATTAAATGAAAGAATAACTTGAACTGTAGGACATATTTAGAAAAACACATTCAGATTCCAAATCAAAAATAATAGGGTAACAATAATAAAAGTTAAAAGTCAAGCAGTCATTACCTTCTGGAGGAGTTGCAATGCTGCCACCAAGCCCCAACATTGCAATGGTATGATTGTATGGTTCAATCATCATTGCAATCTCTTCACCCCTTTCCCAGTGGGGTATTTTTACTGGCTCCAAGTGGACATTTTCTAAGCCATCATTCCTCAAAGCTTTATCCATGTACTGGATAGCCAGTTCTAGATTTCTAGAACCACTCAAACGTGGTCCAATAGTGTCCACAAAAAGTGCAAGCCTTTCATAAGATCTATTCTGGGCCTTGCCATAAACAGCAAGTTTGATAATCTTCTCAGCCACATCTGAATAACGGGCTATTTCCTTCTCAATATCCTCAAATGTTCTTTGGTGGCCATAACTGGTGTTGCTTAATAAACAACTCATGCTCCGAGGAAAGAGGCAGATGGAGACCATTAAAAACAGAAGCGTCATTTCTCTCCACTTCACTATTATTTGTGAACCTGTAGGAGGAAAAAGACAATATTACATTACAAATCAGTTCAGCTAGTTTTCAGTTATGAAGCGTGACAGCCTGAAAACAAATCCAGTTAAGTAACGTCATATGAAAGTACAGTGACAGATATTAAGAAACCAAGTCTTGCGAGCGGAGGGGAGAATGCAAAAACCCTGCATTCATTGCCCACTGAGAACTAGAATCACTAGGGAAAGCAGTACATGAATGCATAGCTTTTTCTGTTGGCTCCTTTCCAAGGGCTTCAGATTTTGGGTCTGGTTGGATGGGGCTGCTTAAGGTTTTGGAAAAAATCTCACAGGTAGAGTGAGATGCTTTTCTATTTATATAGCAACAAGGTGGCCAAAGAACATATGTTAATATCCTACTTTCATTGTATAATCTCCTCTTTAGGATATGCAGTCTTCCTGGCTTCCTTCCTTTCTATCAAATCCCTAGGAAATTTATCATGAGGGAATTCTACCTATAGGACTTTTTCAGTAGCAATGAAGTGGTAAAGGGAATCCTGCCCGTGAACCGACTCAACATTTGGAGAAACCGTCCACTCATACCCATAATTAGCATGGAACATTTTAAAAAGCAATTTTTTCCAGCTCTAAGCTAAATCATTGTACACAGGCAAAGCATGAAATGTATCTTCTCTTATCCTTCCGACATTCCACCCCTATATTGACTTTGAAATAGATTGGCAACTTCAACCCTCCCAACCTGGTACTCTTTAGTTGTGTTGTACTATAATTCCTCATCTCTAGTACATCTAGAAGGATACTGTAAACACAAGTTAACTCTTGCTTTCAACCTTTTAGTTAGCATAGCATTTTGCACTCTCTTAAAGCTTTAAATCTTAAAATGTGTTCAAATATTTTTAAGATACAACTGAGAAGCAGGGATTTCTGTAATATAAACGTTTTTAAAACTCTTAGAAGGATGTTTTTCTAACAGAAACTATTTCAAAAATTAAGATGCAGAATGCTTATCAAATACTTATTGTTACATATAAAAGAGGACAGAACTGTTAGCGATTTATTTTAATATTAGTCAAACTTCAAATAGAATGTCAAATATTATACATTTATATAATTAAATGTTGGGGGAAAATAAAAGAAACCTATAGATGTATCTAAATCTATATTAAAGAGGCGTTTCAACAATAGGACCTCACATTGAAACACTCAATTTTCTGCAAAAACTAAGCAGTCCTTTCTAGGAGTCTCAAAAACTCTTATTAAAAGCTAATTATAATTGTCATAAGAATAAAGTAGGCTTATCTTTAAAGAACTAATCCCAGATGCAAAACTGAATTTTGTTCTACAAAGAATATTGTTCAAGGTATTCCATTCAGAGGCGGACTGCTAATTAGTTCATTTTTTAAAGTGCTTTGAAATTGCTGTTCGGTTTTTATTTTTTCTTTTCTTCTCTTTTTTAAATTCTCCTTTATGTTTCAAGATACGTTTCATGGACTACAGGGTACATTCTACTGGGAATATCTCTAACTCCAGAGCAAGCGCTATTGACACAAGTAATAACACAGGATGTTTTGTTTTGGGTAGAGATTACATTTGGATGAGCCTTGAATCTAGAACTGAAGCAAGGTAATTCAAATACCAAGGTAAATCAAGCCACCCCCATACAGCTTCAGTCTGGAGACGGATCTTTACAAATTTCTGATCACAATCTGTACATCTAGAGTTTGGGGTATGAGAGTGCTCATAGAAAAGCTACTTTCCCTGACGTTGAGATAGAAGCAGGAGCGATGGAGAAGAATACTTCCTATTCCAGTATCAATCAAACATGCCTTGCTCTGGTAGTGCCTAGAAAGTGGATCTCATCCCATTTCAGCTTCACAGGAGGTAGAAGAACTTCTGTTATGATCCACTTTGCATGGCCCTGTTCATCCTCAGTCACTAGCATGTCACAAAGGATTCCTCCTGCCCAAGGATGGATGTTAGTTTTAGAAAGCAAACCAAAATATCAATTGTTTTCTTGCTTCTTTCATCACACAGTCCTTCCTTATTTATTCAAGCCTGTCTTCTCTGAAGACCTAGAGATATCATTTTTCTTTATTCAGCCAACTTCTAGTTTCTTAAACATGGATTTTTTTTAGTTGCCGGTTTTAGAATTAACCTTTCCTTTAGTTTTCCTACTGATTTTCAGGTTTATGAGTTCTTTCAAGCAGTTCCCTCCATTCAAGCATCCCCCTCCTTTTTCTTCTTCATCATCATCATCATCATCATCATCATCCATCTTCATTACCACCACCACCACCACTATTTTAAGTGTAATATTTTACACATTTCAGTACATGTTGGTATGCGGTTATAGATTAATATATTAATAATTTATTAATAATAATAGTAATGGTTCACTAATAATAGTAGTAATAATACTAACTGAATATGATTGGTTTTTGTTTTGCTCTTAATTGTTCTGTTCTTATTGACATCCTCCTTGGGAAAGTGCTTATTAACTAGGTCCACATATTCTGTTAAAGCCATAATGTAATTTGTTTGGTTTTGGTTTTGGGTATTCTGAGCCCAGCCACTGTTCTTTGTAACCAAAAGTTATAGCTTAGTATGCTATAAAAATCCAGTTGTTATTCAAACCATTGTTTAACATACAGGGAATGATCTTTTTGAAAAGCAAAGCATTATGATTTTGCATAATGGGATAAGGCTATTTTTTAATGGACAAAATTTTGTGAGATCTCTCAAGAACTCATACAAGAACAGTAAAATCTCACAAGATGTGAGATTTATCATTTTTAAATGTTTTAAGTTAGTTTTTATTTAATATTGGGATTCTTTGGGAATCATTTAAAAGCATTGTGTGAATCACTTTGCCAATCCCTAATTTAATATTATTTGTGAATGTATTTATTTATTTAAAACATTTATACTGTATAGCCACCCATCTTGTACCATCTTAGGCGGCTCACAGAATCCAGATACTCGTAGCTTAATTTGGTAGCAGCTTCATCCTTGTATTCACATTCACTTTTGCATTATATATTTCAGTCACAGTTTCATCAACCTCCTTGTTTAGGAGATCCTCCCAATCAGAGATTTGGGGAGACAGATGCTAAACTGCTGGGGATCCCACCCACCAGAGGTAGAAGACATTTCTAAGCAGAAATTGGTGGCATTGTGGAGCACTTGGAGTCACTGCACCAAGAAAGGGCACATAATGCATCTTCATGTTCAGAATATCCCAAACACAATATGAGATGGCAGACCCTGCTGACGGAGGCAGTACAAGCCGTCTAAGAGGCAAGAGTTGATATAGGAAGATGTTGAACTTTAGCAGGTACAGCTCATCAAGTTTGCCAATTCTTCCCAAATGCAGCCAAGGAGGATCGGACTTGTCTGCCAGGGCTCTGGGGACATTGGAAAGGCAGAGAGGCAGCAGTCTACCCCTCCACAGGATAATGCTCAGACTGAGGTTTCTACTTGAAAGTCTGAGGTGAGAATCTTACAATACTTTGAATATTGGTTAGCCTGCAGACCAGATATGAAAGCACTTGGCTGCTGTTGCCTTGCTGCAGTTGGTAGTACCTGGGAATGATTTTGAGAGCATCACATCATAAGAGGTTTTGTCATAATAAAGGCAAATACAGTTTGGTGGTATTTTTGGTTGAACACTATTTCTAATCTCCCGGCAGGAAAAAAAAACTTTGCCAAACTATGAATATTCTGTTTGATCAATGAAAGATGAGGAGTGGGGGGTGGAGTAACATGCTGATCGAGTAACAGGTAAGATCGGTATTGGACTTTGATAGGAAGAACATTTGAACAATAGAAAAACATTAACTCCTTTTGGATGACAATTTACAGATCATCTCCTGTCATTTGTCTCAGTGATGGAAGAAATGGTCTTTGCTTATCAAGCCCAAATATTTGTGGAACTTTATGAAACATCCAGAGTCAAATAACATATTACATTAATTACAGAAAATACAGCTGACCCTTGGTGTTTTACTCTAAAGCAGGACTGAAAACATTTAGTAGTCAAGAGCCACATGCAAAGTTTCTGGGTACCAAGGGCCCCTGTGAATGGACCCCTAATGCAGTGGAGAGGACCATGATACAAATGTGGGTAGGACTGTTATTTATTTTTTACTTTATTTACTATTGTGTCTATGTTAAAGCTGCCACTATCGTTTTTGTGTGATTCCCACCTCAAAATGCCATCAGTTTGTGGATATCAAGGACCACCAAAATGGGATTCAGGGAGCAAGCATAGCTGTAGAGTAGCAGATTGCTCATCTATAATCCATGGCACAGCAGCTCAGATCAGGACCACTGTACACTGTTTTAACTTCTTCCCAGATGCTGATTTTCCAAAATCAATCCTCACCAAAGCCCCCTTTTCCTCTCCCCCCACCCCCTTAATACAGGTGTGAATTTCCTCTATCCACATGCAGTGTTACTCATTTGATTCAAGGGCTCACTGACTTTAAAATACAAAATAAAGAATTGATTATACAGTACATATTTAACTGAATATGTAGTTTGACTCTTAGGTACTAGAGCAATCAGATTCATGTAAAATATGTGATATTACAAGTCCCTAAGGCAGTTAAAGCTGCTATTCTTAATGCCCTACACATTAAAGAAATCACACTGATATTAATCTGGTTATTCCTGAGAAAGTTGTGCCTTAAGCCTTAAATTGCCTGTGTAGGACAGTAGTTCAATGTGCCAAGATAACTGTTCACATTTAAAAGAGTTAGAATCATATAGCACACATCTGCCTCAATTATCAATGTTAGAAGGCATAAATGATAATAAAAAGAAGGAAGCGGCAAATAACATAAAAATAAATACGTCAGAATTTAGGTATCGATAAAGGGATAAATCAAAAGACTCCAGAAGAGTGAGAGTGCAAAAACAGCACAAATTAATAAAGTTTGAGCAACATTTTTATTATTTATCTGGCAGACTGTCTTAAGATTCTAGCAGATATAAGGATTTTAAAAGAGGCACAGCTTGTTTGCAATGCAGAATGAGAAATGTGAAAAATAAGGTAAATGACTAAAGGTTAACTACTAAAAGTTCTCATAATTTTATGAATAAACTGTTTTCTATGTTCTCTATTTTATTTTCCTCTAAGGAATACATGAAATTGCATACTTAGAGTACATGAGGTGGTCTGTTTAACACTGAATTACAGTTTAAAATCTCTGGGCAAAGAAAAGTACGTTGAATGCTACATTGATGAGTCTGATGCCTTAGTAGCATCCAGAAGTAAGTCTGTTATGATAGCTGGGGAAAGGTTGGCTCAGAAGTTAGCTGAATGTGCAGTATAGGTAGTCCTCGTCTTATAACCATTTGTTTAATGACCATTCAAAGTTACATTGGCACTGAAAAAAGTGCTTCACAGTATCCCTGCAGTCAAAATTTGGGCGCTTGGCAACCGTCATGTATTTATGACAGTTGCAGTGTCCCGGGGCCATGTGATCACCATCTGTGGCCTTCCCAGGGGGGTCCTGGCAAAGTCAATGGGGGAAGCCAGATTTGCTTAATGACCGTGTGATTCGCTTAATGACCATGTGATTCGCTTGACAACCGCAGCAAAAAAAGTAGTAATATCAGGCGTGACTCACTTAACAAATGCATCACTTAGCAACCAAAGTTCCGGTCCCAATTGTAGTCATAATTCGAGGACTACCTGTAGAAGAGGAATTATGAGTTTTGAAAGTTATGGAGTTGTTTCTTTTCATGAAAAGAGAGCAGAAATGGCTGAAAGTGGGAATATGAAAGAAACTGAAACTTTCTTCCAGACAGCATTATCTCTGAGTTTTGGGGACTCAGCTCTGTGCTCTGAAGTGTAATACATTTTGCACTGGAAGATTTTGGCCTAATGAAATTCGCTAAGTAAATGAGAGCATGGGGACTGTAAAACAAAACTACACATATACAAAGACATTCCCCTACCCTTTAGCATATTCAATATCACTCTGCAAACTCCATCACTTGCTAAGTAACATATTTGGCAAAATCATCTCTTTCTCCCATTTAAAAACCCATGTCAGTTAAGATTTGTTAGAAACAGACATTCTAAACCTCAGCTGTACCCTTCTACTTCACAGTGCTATATTTACCCGTTTATATTCATGTACTGTATGTTACAGGCAAGATACATACACATACGAAGTCAGAGACCCTGAGAGAGCTGAATCTTGAAGAATGCCAACATCTTCTGATAAAACTTTACTAAAACATCCACAAAAAAGCAGTATACCCAAGACAAGTGATGTCAGGTTCAGCCCAAGAATCATGATACAGTCCAGAAATCAGTTCAGCTTCTTTATTAGCTTGCACCTAATAGACAGAATCTCGCCAGACTAACTCTAATCCCCCCAACGACAGCAACCATCATGCCCTTAGGGAGGGGCCAGTCCCTTTCTCTTGACTTTCACACAGTCCAGCTGAGGGCTGAGAAGATGCTTTCCTTGGAATGGTTCTCCCCCCTTCCTGTAACTTTGAAGCTCCATTCCAGAATCCTCCCCGCTCATGCCTTCCATCACAGGTAAGCAGTGAAAGAAAGAACATACAGAAATTATTTTTACTTATTATACATTTATTTATGATTCAAATCAGACTGTCTTCTCACTAATCCTTACATGACCTTTGTTGTCAAGAGCTTACAGAGACAGGAGAAAAACCGGACCACCCCATGAAAGGTCATAATTAGGAAAAATCTGATGTATTAAAGAGAAAGCTAGGTAAAAATCTGTCTCAGTAACATCTAAATTTTCTATGTATAGAGAATATTTCAGTGAGAGGGGATTCAACTACACCAGCCCTCAACTGTACAGTTCAGGTACTGGTTTACCAACTCAACGATGTTTTTGAGAACTTGGAAAAGTTTTCTCCACCCAGAGAAACCGGGGCTGCAAAATTCTGGACAACCACAAGATGGCAGCAATGATTAATTCTTAATTGCCACTTCACTGTGATTTACCTAGAGATAACACTCTACGTACATTGTACAGCAGACTCGAGACCCAGACAGTAAGGCCAACAGGACATGCTTGGGTAAGGACAATCCATTGCACCTCTCATGAGTTCTTTCCATGCATGAAGGAGTTTATTTTCAGTGCACTATTGAAAACAGACATCAACCTTTGGAAGAAGACAAGGAGAATTTATATATATATATATGCACTAGAATGAGGCATAACTAGCACTATTTATAAATAATACTAGGTTGCAGGAATCTTTTAGGATACAGGGCTGTTTTTTTTATTTTATCTGTGTACCAATTTCTAGTCCCTTAGGTATGCATTCTCAACCAGCCAAATAGCTTGGAAAGCTTGACAAGTATCATGTTTAATCATGTCTTTCTTGTTAAGTTTAGATATTATTTCTGCCCTGTCTTCTCATTAGCTGGAAAATAATATCTACTTGTCTAGGTCAAGTCAACCACAGCTCTTGCCATTCTCATGTGACCACAGTTGATGCCAGAGTTTCCAATCTGCAGGCTGCTAAGCCTGTCTTCCTTTGTATCTTTGTCCTTCTTTGCCTTGAATCTCCTCAGATATTGCTCTAACTTCTGCTTCTATTACAAATACAGCTGAAAAAATAGGAATCCCTGTGATCACAAGTACCATCCAGTGGAGGAACCTAAACAGGTCATCCTGAAAAACAGCATTCTTAACAATAGGGCATGAAAAATAAAAAAAAAATGTTCAGACACAAACAAAACATATAATCTTTTGGTGTTTGTGGGTTTCTATTTGATTTGCTCTGCCCCTTCCAGCTGAAGTGCAAGCAAAGCAAATCTGGCAAAAGATTAATACATTACATTGTGTTTGCCAAGTCAACACTGAAACAAAACAATGAAAAGGCCTCTGGTCTGTCAAAAAGTTTATCAACCCTGATGTAAGCTGGATAATGCAAGCAACTGTTACTCGCAATGAAAGTTGTCATGTGTGATATCCTGTCTCTTTTTCTGCCAGCCTCTTGCACTGGAATTCAAATGCAATCAGTCTGTCAAATTACACAACAGCTATAAAGGCATTTTTTGGGCACTCTTAAGCATCTTCAAGATGTTCCTGTGAAGTTTGATATAGATAGCAAATGCTGAAAGTTGCCGGAAAGCTTTTCTAGAAACTGTGGAATCTGTTGGAATGTAGCTATATAGTTGTGAGATTTCTTCATCTGCATAACTACTTACTATGTAAGACCCTATATTATGTTTAACGTAAATAATCAGCCTAATTTTCAATACATTTTATAGACTAGAGATTTCCATTAATTTCAGAGAAACCCATAGGATTTTTAAACATTTGTTACTTGGGAAATACTTTACATCTATTAGACAATGTTATGGCCTACCATTTTTCAAAGGTTCTTTGTTATATATCAATTGTTGAAAGTGGACCAGCAATGGACTGAACATATTTATTTTTATTTACTTGTTGGTCTCAAAGAGTTTCTGATTACCTTTCATAGCTGTTGCACCGTGTCATTAACAATCAGGGTCTTCCCATGTTGTCAAACTGGTCTCTGACTTAATTATAGTTTATTGTGTAATCTTCTTGCAAGGCCCACATTAATAACATTAGCATGACACCTTCTCACATAACAGATGGAGGGGGCAATCTTTTTGTAGCTGGTATCTATGCATCTTAAATGAATTTCTCCAATCTTCAAGGGCTTGAAGAAGTGTAGCAGTAACACCATGATGTCACAGAAGGCTGGAATTTATGACCCTTTTTTCTTTACATTATTTGGACTTAACACTCTCCCCTCTTCCCATAAGTACTTTAAATTGGCAATCACCATAAATTGGCAATCTGCTGTCAGGTGCAATCTTGGGGGACCCTGAAGGATGCAAAAAGGGACTGAGGGCACATGTGGCCCACCCATGCTTGAGGAAAAGTTGTAACCACATTTCCTGAAGTATTAGCAGAGAATACTAAGCTATCCAGAAGATAACGTGTGATTCTACTGAGCTTCGTTGGAAAATTTAGCTGAAAATCTTTTTTAGGCTAAAGAAGTAACCTAAAATACACTATTCCTTCTGAATTCCCCAAAACACATTACACCAGGATTCTAAGGGTCACTGGGATTATCCAAGGTGTTGTTGTTGTTGTTGTTGTTGTTATTCAAGGTATTATAGTTAAAGTAGTATTTATTAAATTTGGGGGGGGTCAATGAGCAATCTGAAACTTCATGAAGGGGTCGATGAGCTGAAGCATTTGGGGACCCATGAGTTAGACAGACAATTTCCAAGACTCAGAAAGGAGGAAGTATTTCTATCTCCTCCAAAGATAGCACCTGGTCAGACATTCTCCTTAGATCAAAATTTATACACTCAGTGGGGGGGTGGAAATTGAGTTGATGCCCATGGCAACCTGAGGGTCAGAGGTAGGTGGGGAAAGTTAATTTCAAGTCCAAGTTCACTATTTCCCTCACCCCACTTTGTCTAGTTATCTATTCTATGAATGCAGGCTGGGATGGATAAGGTCCCCCAGAGCCAGTAAACCCACCATCACTATTCTGTTGTCCAAACCTAATTCTGCCCCCCTCAGAGTCTGAAGAATAAGTAGATAGCTCAGAAGGAATGGAAGACCAGTTAGGAGGCTTGGACTTGGGAGGTTATTACAAATGCAATTGGCATAGAAGGCAAGTTGTATGGACATTTTCTACTCCTTTCCAGGATGTTTTTGTGTCCAGGTACCCCTTCCAATGAATCAGGTATTCCAATATGTCTCTTCTGAACTTGGAATCCAAAATATGTTCTACCTTGAATTCCTTCTCCCCACCGCGCAACTGAGACTGCAAAGTAGCTGGGACAGAGGAGCTGTCAAGGATCATTCAAGATTCAAAGGGGAATGGTAGAAAACTGTGTGCATCTTCATTGTAACTGTTACAGGTTAAAAGCAACCAGGTGAATCCAAACTGAGAAGGGACCAATAAGGTTATAGGAAGAATGTATGTAGGGTAAGAACTTAATAGAAAGCCATGTATGATCTCCAACAGCAATGGCAGGACCTTCCTGGTGGTGATGACCAGTGATATATTTGTAGGAAGCCTTGGCAAGGCCTAGCTATTTCCTGAGGAATATTTATTTATTTAATTTACATTGTCACCTATCTCGCAAATGCAACTCTGGGCAGCTAACATGTTAAAACAATAAAAAGTAATATTAGCAAAGAATAAAAAACTAGCAATGGTCACTGAGGATGAACCCCAGAAACAATAGACCTCTCAACAGGCCATGTAACCTTTTGACCCTCAGATCCTGGAGCACACCCAGGTCTTCAGTGTGTTGCAAAAGGCTACCATGGCTGGGGCCAATCTGATCTCAAGGGGTATGGTGTTCTAAAGGGCAGGCACACTTCCAAGGTTCCATAAGATGACATACTTTAACCGAAGGGACCCAGAGCATGCACTTCCTGTCAGACCTAGAGGAGAGGCAACCCCGCAAATAACCCAGACTCATGCCATGGAATGCTTTATAGGTAACAAACAGTAACTTGAATTCCACCCAGAAGCACAGTGGGCACCAGTGCAGCTCATGGAGCAGAGGTATAACATGGGCATGCCTAGATGCCCCTGTAACTGCCCGCACTGCTGCATTCTGAACCAGGTGTAGGGCAACCCCATGTACAACATATTGTAGTAATCTACTTAGGAGGTAACTAAGGCATGAATGACTATGAGGAGTCCCAGACAGTCCAGGAAGAGGCACAATTGACACACAGAACACAGTTGTGTCACCTGAAGTTCCTGTAGAAAGTGTGAGACCTCAGGGATGGAAAAGGGAGAGGCAGAGTCTGGCAGCTGGTATGAGTGGAAGCCCTAAAATGCCTGAAATGGTGACATGCAAATAGAAGAATGATCCAACTTAGGTATATGCATAGGTCAGCCTGTTTTCTTGCTGGTAACAATGAAGGTATTGCTCAAGGATAATATCTGTCCTCTCTATCTTACCATCTGATGGTGAATGATGAACCAAGGAAAAATGGGAGTTAAGGGGAAAAAAAACCTCCCCAAAATGAGTCATGAATTGAGCGTTTCTATTTGGTAGGGTGACTGGGCAGAAAATATGGGTAGATGAATAACTCAGCAGAATCTGGCATGGAGAAATAAGCCATCTTCAAAAACATCAACAACCGCCAGTACAGCACAACATTCAGATCCTTCTCAGATGGAAGTCAGTAATAAAATCCAAGAAAACTGTGTCCAAACACCCCTGTGGAGAGGGAAGGGGGTTCAGCAGACTGGCTGGTTTGATATGGTGGCAAATGTGACTTGAAGACACATAGGCCTTGACATTTGTTTGGACATGAGACCACCAAAAATCCTTAAGCAAAAGGTGGGTAGATTAACTACTCCAATTGTCTTGCTGTCATGGCAAAGCTTCAGTATTTCCTCCCTCCATGGAGGAGGAATATATAACCTGTATATGTATCACAATCATTGAGTCTTATAGTTGGCTGTTGCCTGTCTAGTTTAGATCATCAAACACCACCTTTAGTTTGTTCATTAGATTAGCTATTGCTGCTGTTGTTTTTTCCAACTTCCCAGTCAGAGTTATATCAGTATGGTTTTTCCTTGGCATGACATGATTGATTTATATATTGTTATTTATTATATTACTACATATTAAGGTATAATGTGGTATAATATTTTAAATTGCCACTAGATTAAAGTGTATCCCATTTAGAGTCAATTTATGATTGTCATAAGCCTGAGAAATAAATGAATAAAAAACAAATAAGAATTATAAGTCCCATCTGGGAGCAATCTGTGGGAAATTTCGCTGGGTTACTAGGAGATGTACAATTCACACTGAGTAATGAACACTTTCAAACTTCAAATTCTTATATTTCTGTCTATAGTCCATGTGATGTAAAGGGCTAGACAAACTCTCTTTGGGGCAAAAGAGAGAGTTCCTACTTTCTCTTTTTTCAGTAACAGGCTGATCCACTATCTGTCTATATTTGTTTATACCTATCTGAAAACTGGCTCTCACACACTATTCAGTCCTAAAAAGACTCTAGAATCCAAATTTGCATAATATGTGCACATATTAATTGATATATATGCATGCAGATTGGAAATTAGCAGTATTTACATTTTGCTTAAGGATGCCAATTAATCCCCCACCC